CATAGGGATGCTCCAAGCATCATCACCACTGCACTTCCAGGGTTGGAGCATGTGAGTGAGCGGGGGGGGTGCTCTGAAATGTCCCTGGTGGGGCACACTGCTGCTCTGGTGCAGATGTGCCCTTAAAGTGAACCTCAGTTAATTTGTTCATGGAGTAGAAGAGCAGAAGTAGTTAGAATCTTTGCAACATTTGTGGGGATTTGAATGAATATATGACACATGACTTGTATTGTTAGTAGTGCCTAGGAGCCCAAGATCTTGGGCTTATTGTGTTAGGTGTTGAACAAATGCACACAGGAAGAAATACCCTACTCTTGCCCTTGATAGCTTACAATTGATATAGGCAGGGAGTGTAAGAGGACTCCGAATCATGGAAATGTTAGAGTCCAAAGTCCTATAGTAGGGTGATTAAAAAAAAAACAAACAACAACAACAACAGGAAAACAACCTGGCCTCCCAACTCCCAATCTAGTGGCCTATCCAATGAACTATTCTGCCTCTTGTTGTACCATCAATGCAGACATGGCTGTATATGCATTTGTTGTGCTAGTGCATACATATGTGTGTACCTGCAGATAGATATTTCCCTAAGCTACAAATCTAAGGCTTTGTACGACACATTTAAATGATATTCAGTTAAAGGCAATTTAGACATAGAGCCTGTGCTTGCTGATTTGATTTTCTGTTGCCTTCCCACATATGATTTTCTTGCAGCCAGAGGCACTAAGTATGTGGGGGCCCAAGGGCCCTGGCCCCCTCAGGAAGACGGCTGTCACCTGAAATGTGTAAAACTTTCCACGTATCCATCATCTTAGGTCCTCCGGCAAAAATAAAAGTTGGTGCCTATGCCTACAGATGTCATTTAGACCACTTTTTATCTGCTGTAGCTAATGACAGGATAATTCAGAAGAGCATTTGCTTATGTAAGAAGCTAACCTACTTCTTTGAGCCTTCAGTTATGCAGACAATTCTTGGTAAAAACACTGCCGAGGTATTGGTTGCTTGGTGAATTCCAAATACTGTGATCTCCATATTATTCTTTGGGTCTGGGCTTTGAAGTGTGTATGTTTGCATCAGAAAAAATATATTGGTTAAAGCTAAATGAATAACAGCAGTGAAACCATAAGCACACAGACCTGCAAATATTCCACTAATGCAGGGTCTGTGCACCACGTTAGCTCAGAAGTGGGATTTACACAGACCCAGAAGTGGGTCTTACGTTAGTCCTTTGTGCAGAGGTGAATAACACCCGCATAGCAGCAATAACTTGTGGACCCTGGATAAGACAGCAGGACCACAAATGCTTGTGCGCAGAATAAGCATAATAATTCTATAGTCTATTCAGTGCAAGCAGCTGTGCAGAGTTGCGTCATTAAGGGCTTTCACTTACCTGTGAAATTTTCCCATAGAGGGCACTTAGCTTAGCTGGAAACGTGTTCATGGGTTACAGCACAAAGCCACATAGAAGTGCAGCAGTACAGTGATTTGTTTGCCTTGGGCACATCAGTTGCTCTGCTGAAATGGTGTAGCAGTCAAACGTTTGCATTCCTGACTCTGTTTACGCACTTAACACGCTCCCTTTGAAAGCCCACTGTTCAAAGCCTGCGTGTGTCACTGCAGCAGAATTGAGTACGGTACAGACTGTGCTTGTGGACGACTTCCTGTTTGCTCTGTTACTATGCTGCGCATCGGCCAGGGCCATGACAACTCTCAAGTTGCAAACTCACAAAATATATGAACGTTTCAAACAAAGCTGTAAGCCTGTGTAGAAAAATAAAACTCCTTCATAAGAGGAGCAAGCACACTCTTCCAGGAGCACGGCTCCCTTTTGCCTGGACCAGGAGAACCAAGGATTTCATATTTACTTAGTACAGGAGACTGGTCCTATAGAAGGGATAGGAGAGATCAGCACACAGGAAGGGGAAAGGTGCACTCACCTTTCTTTGTAAAGCAAGGAGTTAACACTGATCCTAATCTTGAGCTCTAGGACAGAGCTGTACAGTTGGCTATTTAATACTGACAATGCAGAGAATATATTAGGGCCACCTTTTTAGACTCATGGCACCCTCCGTAACTTTTCTGAATTGAGCAGCACCCCATTTCAAAAGCTACTTTATTTATTACAGTGCTTACCTCCTTGCAGAGGGGCCAGACAGTGGGTGTGGGGGGAGCAGCAAGACAGGTAGTGCCTGAGCCTGCTCTTATCTGTTTATCTTCTCACACTTTCTGCAACACCCTTCAAAGGATCTCAGGATACCTTTGGGTGCCCCAGCACCCTGATTGAGAATCACTGTATTAAAGCATACCTACTATGAATTATTGTATGCATGCTATAGTATTGCATGGATTTTTGGTTGTAGCTGTGTTGGTCCAAGGACATAGGCAGACAAGTTTCTTTGGGTACATGTGATATATTTTATTAGACCAACTGAGTAGCTGGAAAAAAGCTTTTTGCCCAAAAGCTTGCAAAAAACCTTTTTTCCCCAACTACTCAGTTGGTCTAATGAAAGATATCATATCTACCCAAAGAACCTTGCCTGCCTATGTCCTTAGACCAAGACAGCTACAACCAAAAACCCATGCAATACTATAACACGCATATAGTAATATATAGCAGAAAGCAGGGTAGACTTGCACTTTATAGACTAACCAAAGTAGATTATATACATATAGCATGTGCGTACACACTCTCTGTCTCGTGTGTGTGTGTGTGTGTGTGTGTGTGTGTGTGTGTGTGTGTGTGTGTGTGTGTATACACACACGCACATAAACATTTGTATAGCACAAGTTTTCATGGCCTGAAGCTTGCTTCATCAGATGCTGTGAAAGGAAGGATGTGTGCAAAGTAATATATAAAAGGAGGTACATTTGAATGCAAAGGCAGAAGAGAGGGGAGAGAGGAGGGGAGGGTGGGGGCAGTGCTGGGGGGAGGCAAACAAGCAAGCAGTAAACCCACAGAAGCAAAGGGGTCACAAAAACTAACTCAGGTAAGAAAAAACTGTGCCCACTGAAACAAGAGGTACAGATAATCAGGTTTAGCCTGTCCCTGAACTATCTGAAATTCATCTTATTCTAACTTTTCTCCTAATCCTGATGCAGGGTTTAGAATATGAATTTATTCATGTAAAACTGGTGATTTACCCATCAGGCTGAGGCCCCATTGGTAGTGGCTGTCTGTACACATTGGGTGTGTAATCTGGATGTACCTGTACCTTTCGTCTGAAGATTATCAGTCTCATGTTAATTTTTTCCCCAGTTGGAGCCATTTTCAAAACTCTCAGTTTTATTTCTTTTCACTTCAGAAAACACAATTGTTGGTGACAACCTCATTGGGCGATTTGTAAAACTGATCGAGAGTGGCGGCTTTCTTCTACATTTGGACTCCAAGCAATTCCCAGCAGCTACTTCCATTAGTTTCCTCCGAGATGAAGATTTTGACCTATCTCCCAATGTCCAGCTTGGCTGCAGGAGTGGATTCCGAAGAAGTTCATCACCTGGGACCGCAATCTCAAATTCCCAAGGATGTGGTATGTTTTCTGTCAGCTTTTCCTCCTACGCTACAATATTTGCTAAGAGGTAGAAAATTAACAACAAACTTTCCTTGATACGGTTTGCCAGGTGATGCATGGAAAAGAGAATATGAATGGGAGCAGTGGTAAGAACTGTTCCTATGCTCCTCACTTTAGGATGCTGTTACACACGGCCAGGTGGATGAAATGAGCTTCTGGTGATTCTGCACATGCTTCTCAGATGCTGTATGGAATCTGCTAAAGTAAGAAGTAAAAAGATCTTTATAATTGGAAGCTCAGCTGGGACCTGAGCATCAGGCCAGACTCTTTCTGGTTTGTGCATCATCCCTAGCAGTAAAGATTTTGCAGTGGTACTACAGCACTTCTGATGATGATGCAGGAACCAGACTGGAAACCAGATTGCTCTCCCTGGCTGCAGAATTGGCAGGAACTGTTGGATTTTGTATCCTTGGACAAAGCCTGAGGCAGCTGGATTGAGGTAGTAGGACATGCAAATGGAAGCTGTCTTGGTAATGATCAGTACAAAATCTGATTGGAGGTCTGCCCCATTCTTCATCCCC